TCCATATACAATAGTCTTCGTGTTCTACTTGTTCCAAATTTTTAATTACAAACTTGGGTAACGAATAATTCTATGAAAGTGTAGTTGTTTAACTCTATAGTATACTGCTTAATATTAAAATTTATAATGATTAGGTTGATACAAAAGGAAAGGTAACATTGAGAAAATATGTGTATGTTGTTTGGAATGACGTAAATAATAAATTGCTTTAATCGAACATTTGTCAATAAATTGTTATTATCAGTATGGGGGTTGTGGAGATTGTTAAGTTTTTGGTTGAGATCATGAATTAATTGATGTTAGACCACCGTTGGTAACCTGGAAGCACTGGACGGCCGTTTCGTCCTAGTATGGGATTCCTCAGCAGTGCGCATCCACGATCCCGCATCCCGAGGGATTCGAACCCAGGACCTACTGGTTTCGCGCGCGAACGCTTAGCCTCTAAACCACTGAGCCGGCATCCAATGGTGTGTGTCTAACATCAACCAATCCACGAAATTGCGCGACCAACTTCCATTGTACTGAGGTGGATGCCTGTCTCTACCCGACACGGATTAGCTCCACTCGTCACGACTTCTCACTAGAACTCCGAGAATTCCCTCACGAAGCTAGTCACTAGTGAGCACACGTTAATTATCAGTATGGGGGTTGTGGAGATTGTGAATGAATAATCAAATACGCTATGGATTCTATCTAACTACTAGACCCAGTATTTAGGACTCATAAATCTTTTAGTGGGTAGACTGAAATATCGTTTTTGAAAAGAGGTAAAACAAATATCGTAGTAATGGGAGATTTTAGTCCGTTTACAACTAGAAAGAAGGATACAAATGCAGAGTGAATGGATCCTGATTAATAGTTTTTTTAACTTAATCTACTGTTTTGTAGACAGTTTTACAATAATGAAGTGAATGGCTGATGAACAAAATTTTTGATCAAACATGAATAACGTAAGAGACTAGTAATATATTTATTTTGTAGATTAAAAGTATAAGATAACAGTATGAAGGGGGATTCTTTTAAAAAGTTTAGTAATGACAGCGTTCATATTTTGAAAATTCATGTAACTTCACTAATGAACTGAGATACAATCTTTATTCTAAAGACTTTTAATGTAGCACCCGAGAGTAGTAAATTTTCTGTGTTCTTTCGGTTCATCCCTACCTTTCAAAAAGGAATAAAGTCTTGATATTACATCTGGATCTGTTCAGATGAATATAAAGTGATAATTACACAAAATAGAAAGAATAAACAAACTTTATATAATATAGAGAGAAGTAAACATTAGTTTTTCTTCTTATTTCCGATTTTTACTTCATGTTTATTTGAACTTTTATTTGATTGAGGTTTATCAGTTATTCATGCATAGAGATGCGTTGATAAGTATATACGTGACCAAATCAACTTCTCATTGTTCTATCAAAATTTATGAAATGGTCTAACCGTTTACGAACAGTTATTGTCATATTACTAGGTACTTTTAAAAGAAGCTAGAAACACTATTTTCTATGTGAACTGTCTTAGAGGATAAATCAAGTATCTAGGATGAAAAATATTAATCATACATTGGAAAATATGCAGACTATATGTCTAATATTGATTTCAACATAAGTTTGATTATCTGGGACCAGTTAACCTATTTAAAGATAGGATTTAAGTTTTCGAATAGTAATGAGTTAAAACTCAGACATATTAAAAGCATAGATAGATAGTGACTGGCAGTGGAATTCAGGACGCTCGTTTCGTCCTTTTTGGGACTCGTTATCTGAATGTATCTGCATCCCAGAGATGATATTTTCTGCATAACTGGAACCCATTACCGTTTGCTTTAAACTTCATTGCGTTGTCCACTTAGCTACTGAGTCCTGATAGCCACTTGTTTGTGCAATGGGGTGAAGTTTAAATTCTTTTGGTATAGTTTGGTCGAATTTTCCAATTGGTGCCTTGGACTGCGATTGATCAGTCACTTGTTGGCATATGTGGATACTGTGCGTATTAAAGTTCACCCCGTTGCACAAACAAGTGGCTGTCAGGACTCAGTAGCTAAATGAACAACGCCATGGAGTTTAAAGAGTACTGTAATGGGTTACAGTCACTCAGTGAACATCAACTCTGCGATGCATAAAGATCCACCTGACGAGTCCCAAATAAGAGGAAACGCGCGTCCTGAATTCCACTACTAGCCGCTATCCATCTTTTCTTATAATGATTGTGACTTTAAGCACTATCGAGTTAATCCTCAAAAGTTTTACATATGCCAATAAGAGACTGATCTTAAACATCAATGGGAAGATTCGTATAAAAAAATACCAGGTCAATTCACATATATTTTGTTGAAAATATTATACTACTTCACAATTGATAAGTAGTTCAGTAACAAGTTACTACAGTTATAAATCGTCGCATTCATGCTTTTAGTATGTTGTGAAATGTTTATTTGTGATAAATTGCACAGAACTATCTATTTTATGAATCATCTTAAGATATGTTATTGTTATAGTGGGATATCAATTATTTTTTCGTGCTATATGCTTGATACCAGTTCCTTTCATTCCACTTGTACTCATAATTGGACTTGTTAGTCATTTGGACATTATTGGCTCAATGATACTAAAAGCATTTTTTCATCTACTCTGAATTTCAGACAACCTAAAGAAATTGTTAAAGGGTGGAGATGAGAAACTGGCGTGTTGTCAGGTTATGCCTATGAATTTATTTGAACTGATATTCTGACACTATGAGCATAAGGTGACTGTATAGGTTAATGTTGTTTATACTCTACCTTCCGTTTATGAAACCATTTTCACGTTGATTTATCGTTTTCCAGTTCACTATAATAATGACTCAGCATTATTTATAGAAAATTGTGAACTGTTAGTATATTTGCGATAGTTAATGTAGTTTAACCCTTTGTAATGTAATCTTTTAGGATAGATAGTTTTCATAATATTATTTATTTCTAATAACGTAATTTTTGGTCGTAAATTTACGACTTTCTAGACTAGTTCACTGTTGGTAATTGGGAATTTCTATGTTTCTTTTGTAAGCAACTGGCTTTTTTTTCATTTGTATACGCATAATTAATGTAGGTAATAATAACTTAATTATTTACATGGATTTTCGCTAGGTTGAAGAATTTTCTAACAAACGTTGTATACGAAATATAGTAAGACATACTGAGTATAATTTTTTTCAAACATTATTGCATTTCTATTCTATTTAAACCTAGAACTTTCGGATTTATTTAGTTTTTCGAGAGAAACTCGGATCCGACTGGTCATAGAAAATGGTTTGTTCGTTTACACTTCATACAAATTTGTTGTTCGGATCTTACCATTGATGTTTAGGACTGAATTTAGTGCAAGGATACAAGTACATCCAGCTAATGAGTTTCAAATAGGACGAAAAGCGAGTCTTGAATTTTAGTACCAACCACCATCCATCTCTACTGCAAATCATTCATTTGTATTATAACCAAGTATAGGCTTATGTAGGGGCTTTTTCAGACCAATATTTTTATGCTATTCAGCATTTTACTTCTAATTTCCTAAACTAATTTTTTTTCAGAGAGAGAATTTTGTGAATTTCAAGTGAGAAGCCGTGACCATTGAAGTTCAGCCGTGTCTGTCATGGGTCAGCAACTCACTGAAGACAATAGTGGACGGTGGCGCAATTTCGTGGATTGGTTGAAGTTGGACATTAACGCCGTAGGATACTGCCTTAGTGATCTAAAGGTTAAGCTTAAGATCGAAAGCCCTTGGTCCGTGTCTCTTGGTTAGGATAGTGGATGCGCACTGCTGAGGAGCACCATACCAGGACGAAATGGTCGTCCAGTGCTTCCAGATTTACCATGGTGGTCTAGCTTTAATCGACTCATAATATTTTCTCTCAATTTAGCATTACAAGTACATTATCCATTTAACGAAGAGATATAAACAGAGAAAATCTGCCAAAAATGTAGTTGCTTGAGTAAATGAAGATGTTGTAAACATTGAAAACTTTTTATTGAGTTTATAGGTATCAATTTTACAAAATATTCAAGAATAAGAAAAACAAACCGAAGTTACTTTGGTGAATGAATCACATAGTAGAGTGATGATCAACGATTCCAATGATCAAAACTACTATATTATTACAATGAACTAAAATTTAGACATAGTATGATGTTTTGCGATTATCATTTTCATTCCCAATTTCTAATTTAGTATCATATAAGTAACTAGTATTCATACTCTTTTGTTTGAAACTTTCCTAATATAAACAGTACCTTTATTTTATACATTTGAATGGTAAGTTATTTGATAAGTAGTTCGATATATGGAAATTTACTTTTTTATTCTCAATCATTCTATTAATTTTGTTGGCTACTTACGATATCATCAGGTGTTCGTCCAATTGTTAACGCATAAATTGTATTTATTTAAAAGAACTACGCTTTGAATAAATCCATGCTATCCCGTTCATTTCTATTTGGAGATTGGACAAAGTGGTCTGTACTTTACAAATAACAATTAGTTATTCACTTGGTGTTGTTTTACTTGCATCTACCCATTGTTATTTAGGACTACAATTGATCAGTCTCATGTTGGCATATATGCATCATGTGTGGATTGCCTCGTATAGCCTTAAGTCACAAGCTTTTTAAGCAAAGATGGATAGTGGCTAGCAGTGAGATCTAGGACGCGCATTTCGTCCCATTTGAGACTCGTCAGGTGGATGCATCTGCATTGCTGAGTTGATGTTCACTTCGGGACTGGAACCCAGTGCCGTTCGCTTTAAACGCCATCGCGTTATCTACTTAGCTACTGAGTCCTGATAGCCACTTGTTTGTGCAATCGGATGAAGTTTAAATTCACTTGGTGTTGTTTTACTTGTATCTTCCTATTGTTATTTAGGACTGCAATTGTTCAGTCTCATTTAATTATTATTATTGCAATTTGATCCTTAGTTGACATTTTATTCTTTAAATACTTTCAATCAAATAGATATTAGTAAAATAGTTTCACTAATGCATATTTTTGTATTTTGTTTTAATCAAATAAAAACACAACAGAAATGGTCATTATTGAAATTGGTCAGTAAAGCTAAATGAAACGGTGTAAATGTTTTAAATAGATAGCAGAACAACTGCATATACAAATATAAACTAAAGAAATGATAAACTTAATTATTTATTATTTCTATCAATCACTGTTAATTGTTCTATAAAGACATTGTTGTTTAGCAAATGATTTATCCATACCAAGTTGCTCCCAGTTACATGGGTTTGTTTTAGTTTGTTTATCACCGCAAATAATTTGAGTATACTTTAAAGATGCCATGAATTTTGCTTGCTAGAATAAAAGTATAAAAATGTAGATAATTACAATTAGATTGAGAACAATAAACAATATACATTACAATGAATAAATAATGAAATAAATGATTTCAATCATATTGAATTTTTAATAGGGTTAAATCTTTAACGATTACGGTACAGGCTTTGGTAGTAAGTTTGTATTACTAGTTTTCACACAAAGAGTACTGATGAAAGTTAAATTCATAAACTTACATAATTGATAAATAGTTGAAATTAATACTAATAGCCTCTGTGGAAATTATTAGTTTTCAGGAGATCTTTGTATAAACAGTCAAGTGCTTTGCGCTCTATAGAAACAATGACCAAATGTTCATGAATACATCAGGTCAAGGTTCTGAAAAATAATTTAGTCATAAATCATAGGAAACCTATGAGTAGTGATAATTGTTTTGGCTATTAAGTCCTCCTCATACGCTAGTAGAAAACAATAGCAATAAAGTATTTCGAAAAATCTACTAATTATGGATTAGTAATATCAGGAATATAGGTTATACAATCACTGTTAATGAAAATAATGTTATTAATATCAATGTAAAGCTAATTTTAGTATTGATCATAATCGAAACTAATGAAGATGAAAGGATGAGACAAATATGTACTTCGAGGTTAAAATATGGGACTTAGAGATTTAGAACTAGTGAGATAGTTGGGACGTATATTCAGTATAGGGATTTGTGGAGATCGTTGAATATTATTAGGATCATGAACCGATGTAAGTTGGACGATCAGAAAACACATTCAAGATCAATATTAATTTCGAACACTTAGTCACAAAGCACTCTATATTTCAGAGAGTAAAACGTTCGTTATAGTCTGTATCAATAAGTGTTTGCTACGACAGCATCAGTTTACTTCTTTTAATTAATCATATTTTTCAATAGTTCTCAATGCACACACCTAATTTATCCACCTCTTCATTTCATATTAAAAGTTATCTTGAAGCAATTCTTATCACTCCATGAATCTAAGTGTTAAAATTCTGTTAAGAAATTCAGAACTATACCAATTTTATTAGTTAAATATCATTTTGTTGTAAGTCATGTATACAACATCGATGTCGTAATGAATTAGAATTTTATAAGGAGTATCCATTCATAAGGAAGGAAGTTCCTTCCTCTTTCTTCTGATGGTCGACTGGATTATGAAGACCTCGACATCTGAGGGAAAACATGGAATACAATGGACAGCTCAGAATCAATTAGACGATTTAGACTTCTCAGATGACCTAGCCATCCTATCCCACACACACAAACAAATGCAGATAAAGACAGCCAGTGTAGCAGCAGTCTCTGCATCAGTAGGTCTCAACATACACAAGGGGAAAACAAAGGTCCTCAAATTCAAAGCGGAGAACAGCAATCCAATCACACTTGATGGCGAAACTCTGGAAGATGTAGAATCCTTCACATACCTGGGAAGCATCATCGATGAACAAGGAGGATCCGATGCAGACGTGAAGGCGAGGATCGGCAAAGCAAGGGTCACATTCCTACAATTGAAGAACATATGGAACTCAAAACAACTTTCAACCAATATCAAAGTCAGAATCTTCAATACCAACGTCAAGGCAATTCTACTGTACGGAGCTGAAACTTGGAGAACTACAACAACTAGCATCAAGAAGGTGCAAGTATTTATAAATAGTTGTCTACGCAAGATACTCAACATCCATTGGCCGGATACCATCAGCAATAGCCTTCTGTGGGAGAGAACAAACCAACTTCCAGCTGAAGAGGAGATCAGGAAAAGACGATGGGAGTGGATACGAAATACATTACGCAAATCGTCAAACTGCATCACGAGACAAGCCCTAACTTGGAATCCTGAAGGGAAGCGAAAAAGAAGATGGCCAAAGAACACATTATATCGGGAAACAGAAGCAGATATGAAAAGGATGAATAACAACTGGAAGGAGTTGGAAAGGATTGCCCAGGACAGGGTTGGATGGAGAACGCTGGTGAGCGGCCTATGTTCCTTTAGGAGGAGTAACAGGCGTAAGTAAGTAAGTAAGTAATCCATTCATAAAATAAAAAGACAGTAATGAGATGTTGATTAACAAAAATATCAACCATAAATACTTACTTCTGGTGAAGAATTTTCCCAAACAAAATGATATGCATCAGTTTGAGAAGAAATTAAAAAATATTTTGTAGTTTCTTTAATTAATTCTTGATTAATTTTTGCGTTGTCAGCTCCTCTTAAAATAGAAATGTATCCTGTAGGACTAGAGAAAGATTTCTGATTGCCTATTGGTTTAGCCCATGTATAACAATTAATTGCAAAATCTAATATATCTGCTATTAATCCAGGTGCATACATATCTTTTAAAATATTAACAGGTAGAACAAGATTAGCACCAACAATCTCATCAATTTTACCGTTATTTCTCAAAGCAATCTAAAAACAAGTGAAAATTTTATTTTTAAAAGAATCAGTATTCTGAAGAACTTCTTGCAGAACATCACGTCAAAAACTGAAGGAAAGATATGAAACTTTATTCAAATTATTCCATGCAAAATCATTTCTCAAATGATGATTTATATGGAATAATCGGTTTGATTATTTTGACCAAGTTTTGTACATACATATATTAATTTTTTTTTCAGTATTGACTTTTCGTTTATTTTGATGTTGAATTTATTGTTCGATACGGATCTGAAACCCGCGGTTATTTTCTCTTACTGTGGTCTGTCCTACTGATGTCTACAGATATAAGTAGTATGTATCATCAATAGAAAGTGGAATGCTTAGAGGCAGAACGTTGAAAAAATCGATGAGAAGAGAACGAGAACAGAAAGTGATTGGTATGGAAATGAAGGAACAATAACGTTTAAGACAGATGATAGACATTTTACAAATAAGGTATTTACTGTATGGTTGTCAGATTTTACCAAGATATTTTGTAATGCTGTATTAGGATACATTTGGTTTTTTCATTAGTGTTCTCGTTCACTGAATTACTATTGTTGGTTTTTGATAATAATACAGTCGAGTAGATAAATTATCATTTTTAGTCTGAACCATTCGATTTTCAGATGACTTTAACCTTCAACTAATCAAACTTATGACACTTAGTCTGAATTGTTTATAGGTATCTGATTAACATTGATTATTAATTGTCCAACAAAGTGAAGTGAGAACATTTTTATCAGTAATCCCACTGTCTAGTAACGACGGCTATCATCCAGTGACATTACCTTCATTGTAAAATATATGTGAAGACGAATTGTCAAAGAACTCGTAAAATTTGGATTATTAAATTATATTAGAATGATGACTGATTAATCCTAGTCAACCAACTTATGAATTTCCTTATTGTAAATATATGAAAATTATCAACAAAGCATCTTATCATTTCTTGAATTCGGTCTAGTAAGTAATTTGTCTACACTTTTAATTATATCAGTTGTCAGAAATGAACAGTAAATGTAATGCTATAGTTCTTTAGTGAATTCTTTAAATACTCAGTTCAATCGGTTGGGAATTATGATACTGTAAGAGGAAACTATCATTTCAGTGACCTTTATCAATTTCAGAATGTTTGTGAATTCAGCTAGAATGTTAAACAATACTGATATTGAAATCCAAAGAACAGTAAAACTCAATGATATAGTTAAAATTTATTTAACTAAATTCACATACTTACAGGAGACATATATTGATTAGCTTCTTTCCAAGCAAAATATATATGAGTGTATAAAGAATCTGATGATATTGAGAAGTTTCTGACTTTCATTTCTTTGGTTTGTGTTTGATTTGATAGATAGTCAACTAGACGTAATAATGGTACACTTGTTACTGTTTTAATAGTAAAATCTTTCGGCTGAATTTCACTAACGATTGATGTATCACTTAATTGTTGGTATGCAGTATTGATTGGAATTAATAGTACTGATAGAATGGAAGCAACGATACTGTTTAGTTTATAAGGCATGTTAACTAGTTGTGATTACTCTGAAAGTTTCAAAATATTAAATTTGTAAATGTTAGCTTATTCACAATAAAAATTGTATGCATTAAAGAATAATTTTGTGATCGACTCACCTTTGGACAGGAGAACGTTTGATAATATTGACGATACACAATGTTTTCTTTGTTTTCCTACCAGTTTACTTGTTATTATGTGTTCATGTGCACATTAGTTTACATTTTTGTCCCAATCAGAATTGGTTCATATTTGGAATTGGATAAAAAAAAACAAAGATAACCTTTTATACTGCATTGGCTAATATATTTTAGCGTATTTCGCATTTCTTCTGTCTGTGAATAGTTTGTAACATTCAGACTTTTGTTTTGTGCTTTAAGTTTCAACCACAATCAAACTTTCATTAGTTGTCTGATATATTCTAATAAAATGGTTAATAGAAGTAGTGTTTTGGAAAAATTTGCACATTTCAAAGGTAAAGTTTGTTATTAACTGACGTGCACTGAGTTTATATTTTTGAATAAATTTAAGCTAAATTCATGTAACTAACCGATATGCTTTACTTCATAAAGGTTGGTTTCCTGAAATCAGTTTCTGGTGAAAATTACTATCAGAAAGTTAAACAGAATCTACCTAACGATAAGAATAACAGTAATAATAATGTTCATAGGACAAACAAAATAAAGTCTAATTTCAAGTTTGTATTCTTACTAGAGTTTTCATATCAGGAACTCGAATCACTTCATTTGTTAACCGTTCTTATGTAAGGAAATCACTATTCCATTTTGTTTATTTGAATAATGTAAATTTGGTTATCAGTTTTTCATTTAGTCATAGGAAGGATGAATTCAAATTGTTACTTTGAGCTTCAAAGAGTTTAGTTTGTAGAGATTCAGGGAAGGCTATCGGTACTTTTGTAGTATAAAACTGCTGACTTGTGAAGAAGTGAGATCTTTATAACTACTCATCATTAGCTGAATGTTATTACCAGCCAAGAATCCCCAGTATAGTGTCACATTTGGAACTCCTCAAGGAACCTCGCCAATGATCCTACACATGATCTAACCCAGTAGATTAGGGTTTCATGGAGATCAAGTAAATTTACATACTGTGTATAGAAATTATGGTCTCAGCAATTGAAATTTTAGCAGCTGAAATCATTTCGAATTCTGTCAAACTATTTGTTCAAATATTGACGAATATTCATATAAAATCAAGTAGTTTGTCAACATTTAACCGATTCCAGTTTACACTTCATCCAGTTTCTAATGTAAATCAATCTCTACTTGATATTGTTAGCAAATTATGAAACTACATCTGATTTGATTTACTCTTAAGTCGGTAGCGGTGAGGTTAGTTTATAATGTGGAACTTCAACAACTTGAAACGACGTAATGTAAAGATGATATAAATAGATAAAGGCTTTAAAAGGATACGAGTTTTACTTAGGATTTAAGGTTAGGAAATCGGAGTACTGTTGTTCACTACGATTAGACTTAGCAGTTAGAATAAATTAAAACTAATGGTAAAAAAAATCGAGAAAGAAATGCTCTGTCGCTCGATATGGATGAGTACCTATGAAGTTAGTTTACAAATTTTAAATATCGTGAGCATCAAAGTTACATTCGAAAATTTATAAATCATTGACGCCGCTTCGTAGTCTTCCAATGTTTGTCAATTTTTATCACTGTATGAACTGAATATTAGTAATCTCTACATCGTTTATAATAAGCTATCGGCCACAGTGCTTTGGATTTCAAAGAAAAATCGAATTATCATTATTACTTTTGGTTTGATTGGTTCCTGAATATTAGACATTATTCAGTAAATAACTATGGATAAGTCAGAGGTTCTGGAGAAAATGTACAATTTGGGAAACATGCTCTTTTAGATGGTGCTAATTTGCAATTAAAACAATCTTTCAATTATATGGAATTTATTGAAGACACTTCCTAATAGTTTATAATGTTTAGTTAACTTGCTCAATAGTTCACTGTATAGCAATCTATATACATATAATGTACAAATCGGTATATTAGAAAATAACTACAAAGAAGTTTAATTAATTAATATTACTGATGCATCAGTTTCGTTTGGTAGTTTAGCTCTTAGAACCTGTAATATCACTAGGGTACGTAAAGCAAACTAGAAGGAAAGCGATTTGAACCTGTGATTTATTGGTTGTAATACGAGTGCTTTAATTACTAAATTATAGCTCAATAATAAATTATTTAAAATATACTATCGTTTTATAGCATTTAGGAAAATACTAGACATAGAATTAAGTCAGTATGAATTCATCTATTTGTAAAACTAACTCATTCTAGTGAAGTTTAGCACAGTTGTGTACATCAGTTCACTGATAAACTGATACTGATTTGTTCTCAGTTGTGAGCCGGATACATTTAAATTATGTTTATTAAGTGATTCTAGATAGTATAAATTTATAAGACCAAAACTTTCATGAAGACTGAAAAAGAGTTTATTTGTATATATTGGTATATAAAGTAAAAAGCACTAATACAAGCTTTCTTGAGATACATGAATGAATATACTGTAGTATATTATGGTATCATTCACAACTACGGTAATCCTAGAATACAATAATAGAATTGTAAAACAATACTATACTAACAAACGGACATCTTAGGGTTGAAAATTACTTTATAAAGTGAAATTGAGATTAGTAAGTAGTACAGTGAACGAAGACTTGATGAAGAAAACCAATTTATTTACAGAATGTCTTTGAGAAATATAAAAAAAACATACATTAAGTACTTTATTTGCACATTACCCATCAGTTCTCTCTTACAAACTTCATCGTCCCTTCATTTCTGCTGTTATTAATATTACTCTCTGTTTATACTCTTATTTTTCTTCAATTCGATCTTCTTAACCTCCTGATGCTCTGAATTTATTTCTGATTGGTGTTATATATTACTTATGTCAACAAACATAAGTAGTATATAGTACAGTAGAAAGGGACAAATATCAAAGATGGAACCATTCAACTTACAAATTATCCTTTTATGAAATTGGATTTCGAAACTATTTTTATCACGTTATATTAATTTGTCAAAGTATTGTATTACAATTTTCGAAGAGTCCTTACAGAATAAGTGAAGTTAGATTCTTTATCAAAAAAATTACTAAATTTATTAAAGTAGCAACTGAATTTTTCATAGCGCAATGTCTCAAAGTTCAAACCGTTACTTGAAACTGATTGTATTATAAAGCATTGTATACAATAAAATGTCTATCATAAATTCCAGTTTTTATAATTAGGTCTTATTTTTCTATGGAAAGAGGTATTCTTTAAAACTAACAGAATCCTTATGGTGGTCTTAGTTGATTTTCAATTTTACTTATGAAAATTACTCATTTTTCTTCATATTAAACGTCATCCTAGTGAAAGAAGACATAATTTCTGGAAACAAACCCCACGTCTGTACTCATTTTAGGATATATTAAGAAAGCTATTTTCAGGACAAAATGAGTAAGCAAATAATGAATAGAATGAAGAAGCGCAAATAACAAAATAGGCTATTTTTCTGAGTCACATATTACTGTATGGTAAATAAAACAAACTAGATCATCATAGATGGTATTTATCCTTTTTAAATATATTTTATATATAGAAAGTCAATGAACATGCACTTCTTCATCGCATTATTCAGTCAACATTCTTATCTTATTAGGTGGTTGGATGTAGTTGACAGTCGAGTTTCCTACCAACAACCACCTAACACCTCAGTATAGTACACACGATATCTAGTCCCATAGGCTAGTGACTATATTGCAAGTTGATTGATAAGATTCGACCAGGTATCAATTCAGTGATGAACCATTCATAATTATCTGTGGATTTTTTATTCTTGGTAATTTCATCTTTCGTCTATGTAATTCATACTTTTTAATATAAGACTATGTTTATTTTTCAAAACACTAATTAAGTAATGATGTTATGAAACTTAGTTTTTGTCTATTGTGTGCCAAATTTAAGTAACAAATAATAACAGAAAAAGTTACCAGACATAAACAACAAACGACCAAGACAGATGAAAGAACCGAAGAGGAAAAGACATAGAATAAGACAAAAAAACATCACAATATCATACATTTTGGTAAAGAAATCGTATTATATTACTGCGTATAACATTTTAAATGTAGTCAGTAAATGAGGACAAGACAAAATTATACTTGCTTTAGTTAATAAATAGAGCGTAGGGAAAAAAAGTGTTATCGTACATATGTATATTATTTAGTTGACCTTTCTATGATCACTCTCGTTTGTTTTTTTCGCACAATTTCAAGAAATCGGCTAGTCATCGTTTTGTATTAAACTAGGTTAAATGAAAACAAGTACAAAATTAAGACAGTCAATTACATTGTGAATTCACTTTGGTAAAACAAAACAAAAAATAGAAATAGTATCATGGACTATTGAAGGAACTGTAAATGTGGAGAAATTTCCTAAAGATAAAGAAGCATAGAACAGATAGGTTAAACAAAGTTGTACACTTACATACTGAAGATATGAAGTGCGCTTTTCGAGTAGAAAAAAAAAAAAAAAACAAACACCTGATAGCCAGTTTCTTCCTATTCTTATATTTAGTTATTTTTAATAAACTATCTTCAAAATGACAAGTGTACATGTATATAGATTACATATATTTAAACGTAAGTAACAAAAAGACAGGATCTCGAATGATGGAAGTACAAAAAATGTCTACATCTAGATATTGGTCAATTAATAGCTGATTAATATACATTATATAGAAAATGACTCAATTTAGTATCAATTCATTTGTTTACTTTCAACAGTTGAGATCATGAGTCAATTGAAGTTATAACACTATGGAAAACCTGGAAGCACTGAACGGCCGCTTCGTCCTATTGTGGGACTCCTCAGTAGTGGGCGTCCACGACCCAGCCTGGCGGGATTCGAACCCAGGCGCTTAACCAACTAGACCACTGAGCCGGCTGGCATCCAACAGTGTTAATGTCTAACTTCAACTAAATCACGAAATTGAGCGACATATCCACCAATGTCATCAGTGAGTTAATATCACACAACTGACCCGGTTGAACTCCACTGGTCACTCTAGGATTTGCAACTTGAAGCCAGTCACTAGTGAGCATATGTTGATTAGTATCAGAAGGGATTTTGCGAAGATTGTAGTAATTTCAACAATTGAGATCATGAGTTAATTGAAGCTAGACCACCATGGAAAACTTGGGAGCACTGGACGGCCGTTTCGTCCTATTGTAGGACTACTCAGCAGCGCGCATCCACGGCTGTTGAACTTACTACAATCTCCGCAAGACCCTTCCTGATACTAATCATTTGTTTACTTTATCAAATATACAATGAATTTTATATTGGAAAAATAAAAGTGGATACCAATAAAAAGGATTGTTATAAACAAGATAGAATAATATTGATTAGATGAAATTTTTCTTACTACTGTCAAATAAATTTTGATTTGTATCAATCCAAGTAAGCGCATTTCATTTGATAGAACTGACAACTCTATGTTTGTAAATTAATTGAGAAACACAATGATACATGAAATATGTGGTTATTATTTTTGATATAAACTATGATTCATTAATATACTTTAGAAGAAATAAATTTTTCTTTTTAAATCAAGGCTACCATAAAGCTTTTTTTCTTTTTTTCAGTAGTTTGTCAGTTTATTATACTTTTACTGGTAAGTGATTGCTTGTTTGTTTGTTTTTTAATCGAAATATTTGGAAATGTTTCTCAGTGTTAATCATTATTATTGGATAAATAATTCTGGATCAGTCAGAGGTTCTAGAGAAAATGTACAATTTGAAAGAAATGCTCTTTAAGATAGTGCTAATTTACAATTAAAACTGTTATATCTAGAGCTTATATTCTTGATATACCTCGTGTAACTTGAGTACTAGAATGCTAGAACCCTTCCAAGTCGCAATGAGAAGACAGAAGACTAGTGAAAGGAATGTAATTCCAGACAGTGTTGACGATTCTAGTCGAAAATACACTCATTTATATATTGATTGTACACTTATTTTGATTAATAATTAGAATGAAATCACATATATGAAAAATACTTAGAGTTATAACAAATCACATACTGAGCATAGTTTATGTCAATGGAATACAAGAATATCGCATATTATACAGAATAAAATATCATACGAGAAAAAAAACCAAATACTACACTGAATGATCATTACATTGAATGAAAATGGACGTAATCTTCAACTAAACTCATAATGAGTAAATCAATCGAATTTTGATTGTTTTCTTTCCATCATATCAAAAACAATCTTCCAATCATGTGAAATTTATTGAAGACACTTCTTAATAGTTTATAATGTTTAGTTAACTTGCTCAATAGTTCACTGTATAGCAATCTATATACATATGATGTACAAATACTAAGAACAATGTTATCGTATTATCGATATATTAGAAAATAACTACAAAGAAGTTTAATTAATTAATATTACTGATGCATCAGTTTCGTTTGGTAGTTTAGCTCTTAGAATCTATAATATCACTAGGCTACGTAAAGTGCCTGAGAAAATCATTAATATTATGAAGAATTCTTGAGATCAACTATACTAAAAACTAGTGCGTGGAACACAGACGCATTTCAAGTAAGGATGGGAGTCAGACAAGACTGCTAACCAACTTCCATCTGGAGAGGAAATTATGAGAAAACGTGGGAAGTGGATTGGACACACATTCAGGAAATCACCAAATTGCACTACGAGGCAAGCGCTAACTAGGAATCCTGAATGGAAACGATAAATAAGAAGGCCAATCAATACACTGCGTCGAGAATTGGATGCAGACATCAAAAGTATGAGTAGCATCTGGAAAGAACTGGAAAGGTTTGGGCAGGACAGGGTTGGATGAAGAATGCCGATTGGCGGCCTATGTTCCGCTATGGGGAGGAGGTAACAGGCGTAAGTAAGTAATTATTACAAATTGTGTGCTGCTGCTCTATTTTATCATGATATCTGAACTCTATTCAGGCACAATACTGAGTGATTCACATAGCAACCTTAAAAATTATAAGAGGGAACTCAACAATGGTAATTAAGCTTCATGGCATAAGCGATCCTATTTTAAAGAAAAGTGGACAATTGCTTCAGTACAACGCTAAAACTCTTTCTTGGTCAACTAAAGGAACATTGTATATAAAGCCGATTTTTGACATTAATAGAATGATTGAAGTTTAATCTTGGATTATATTTCAAAAGAACCTTATGGTTCATAAGGCAATTTGTTCATTTTAAATGAACTGTGAAATCTTGTATAAAGTTTGGGAAAGTCTTTAGTTTCCCGTTTAGAGAAGTTTCCTTGAAAAAGTTTAAAAATAGATCCTAACAATTAAGGGTAAGGCAAGTATGTAAGATATTGAACTACCTATAAGTGAAGGCATACGGTATAAGTGATTTCAAAGAAGATAGTTTATCTGTAAAACTAGGAGGAAAACCTACTTTATCTAACAAAGTATAACAGCTTCATGTTTAAACACATAGAAAGAAACAAACTACAATATACTTATGTACACGAGACTTCGGATGTAGCTAATTTTACTTATTCTTTAGAAGTTATGCTGTGTTAGAAACCAAATTGAGCTATATTCAAAATAATAACACATTATAACATAAGTAACCTATAGTTAATGTTTATCGAAATCTGATGTTTACACCAATAAAAAAATGAAGAGCACTTGATAGATATTTCTACCTAATTATGACTTCTTATCAGTTTGCACTCATTACACTATGAATATAGCTCAGCTATAATGTTTTTAAGCTTTGGGATGAGTATAATTTATTTAAACTACCTAATTAGGACTCGGTAATTTATTCATTCGATCTCAATCTGTTAGTGATACTATGCCATTCTTATCAGATATTATTAGTTAATCACTGTCTTATTGTAGTGAACAGAACACGGGCGGAGACGATCGAATTACATTTAGCACAAAATTACAAAGTTACTTGGTAAAATAGAAAAATCATACTAAAATAATTAATTTGCAAAATGTTCAATAATTGTCTCGAACCTCATTGTTCTTGCATTTCCATACTAATTACTTTCTATTCCCGCTCTTCCTTTCATGATCTTTTCCATCTTCTGCCTTCAGACATTACATTCCTGACTCGCGTCATATACTACTTATATCAATATAAATAGCACGCATTACATTATCTCTATACTTTGTTGACTCCATAGGTTAAAGATTCTTATTGAAATTTTTTAAAAAGATCTATCTAGAATTTAATTATTATTACTTTCACGATCATCATTAAACTAAGTCGGTTCCTGAAGTTTTGTTTTCTATAGTTTCAAGTTATTTCAATCATGAATCTACTTTAAATGAAAGGTTACAAGCTGAGACAAAACAGATGTTTAATAGTATACAGTTTTTAATAATTATTCACTTGATATTGGATATGATGATGAAAAATTTCGTCAACTTATACAGAAGCACTTGCAAAACTTACTAATGTATTTACTCATAAGCATATATATATTATTTATCATTGTCTGGTAGGTCAGTCATAGAAATCAAACTAATGAATTTATCTACATTCACATTTAATGACAATCATTTTGACTATGCTCTTTGGAGACTGAATAACTTTATCATCTTGTCTACTTGATTTATTTAGATAGTCATGAAATAGATAACAGAAGTTAGTTATAAATGATTTGTCTTCTTTTATGATGATAATTTTATAGTAATTTAAACAAGCTGAATTTTTGGACATCTTATCCATCAAGATAAATATTGTCTGTCTATTGATAAGAATAAAATACATGAGTTTAAGTAAATGATTTTCACGAGATTTTAGACAAGTACTTTTTGATGGGTAAAATAAAAGGTCACTCTTTTTTAATGAATGACCCTTTCAAGTCTAGAATGTATTGATGAAGGTGTAAAATGCAGTTATTTTGATCTTTTCCTGATGTGATGGATTTTTGGTTTAAGGAATTGTTTATAATTTTTCAATGTTATTCTGTAATTCATATGAATGAAAAAGACATTTTAATGTTTACAAAAATAAGTTTACCTAGTAAGTTTATTGGATGTAATTGTTCAGTTTAATGAAATTCAAATTTTCTTATTTAAAAAAGTACGTACTGAATGTTAGTACTAAATCATGAAACGATTAACTCAATTTGCGACAGATGATATCCTGTAAAAGGTTCATTGTTAAAGCCATCAAAATAGTGGGTTTACGACGTTATAAATATTGTGCAAGTTGATAGTGGATAAAGAGGAAGAATGTATTTGTAAAATCTCAACCAAAGAATTTGAAGTAAATCCAACGTTTCGCCTGGCAATCTGGTCCAAGCTTGGACTATTCGTTCAAAAGTTCTTATTGATAGTGGATAGATCTAATTATTTGTACTATTCATAATACTATCACTGGCTCATCTTGTTTTCCATAGTTGTTTGATGAGTAACTATTTCTAGTCATAAAAAGACATTAGTGAACAAGATTTCTACGCCACTCACACAAGTCTTTACTGATGTGATTTGGAATGATAAATATCAGTATTATATTTGCTTTGCCTTTAGGCTTTAAACTTAGCAGTCTTTTTGCACATAAAACTAAAGTTATACAATCGTGAAGAGACTATTTATTTGTTTTGCGAAAATTTAAAACATGTAAAATTATGTAAATTCTCATTTTATTTTATCATTTCAGAGGTATAATTGGGAAAGTACACTACTTATTTTATCTTATTGAATAACATATATAAGCAAACAATTGTTTTCAATTAGATCGTCATCAGGCTTTACTCTAATATGCATGAATATTTATACAAAAATGTTAAACCAATCAAGGCAATATGGGGCAATAGTTACAATGAAATAGAATAGGTCACCACACATAATAAGTAAAATTACAAGTTGATAGTAGAAAGACAGGTGTACTGATAGTAGTAAGAATAATAAAACACGATAACAAAAGTCTTATCAATAGTTAAACGTTGAAAATAGAAGGTCAAACGTGGGTAAATAGACTTGGAATAGTCAACACAAAACATTAAAATCATTACGTAATAAGAAGTGTGTAAATAATTAGGTAGTGAAGACTACAAACGGCAAGAGGCGGAAAATTACAAACAAATACTAGATGTGAAAATAATGCTAATGATAACAATAATAGAATAAGTAAATAAATAATGATAATAATTATATAAAAAAACCGTTAGTTAAGTTATAACTGGCCATGGAAGGGATAGGGGGGTTACGAATTTCTTCAGTACACATAAATTGGGGTTATATGTACGAATTCCTATGGCTTCAGCTATATATAGGAAGCGGGAACGAACTCTGTTGGGAAATGATGGAGGTTTACGATAGATCACTCGAAATGTTTTCGATTTATCTACAGCATGACCGCTATCCATGAGATGTGTCAAGAGAGAACTGCGAATTGTTTTTATCTGACCCTTTATAAACCAAGCTGGTAGATGTTCACTCATTCGTTGATTAAGTTGCCTGGTAGAATAGTTCAAGTTTAATACTGTCAATATCAGTATTTCGTTCTACCTAGTGAAATATTAAACAACAAAAAACATTTCGTAAAACATCACGAAACACGATATGAATGTAGGTTATGAAAAGTAGAACAACAATAACAACAAAATAATAATTGAAAAACATACAATAATTTTTCTGAGTAGTTTTTCAAAAAAAATTAATAATAAGCTATCCTACTCATTATATGT